GTACTGCGGATGTGCGGTGGTATAATGAACAGCCTCAGAATTAGAAATCGGTACTGCGGACGTGCAGGGCAGGTATAATGAACAGCCACCAGAATTAGAAATCGGTACTGCGGAATAATGAACAGCCACCAGAATTAGAAATCGGTACTGTGGACGTGCGGGTGGTATAATGAACAGCCACTCAGAATTAGAAATCGGTACTGTGGACGTGCGGGTATAATGAACAACCACTCAGAATTAGAATCGGTAACTGCGGACGTGCGGGTGGTATAAAGACAGCCACTCAGAATTAGAACCGGTACTGTGGACGTGCCAGGTGGTATAATGAACAGCCACCAGAATTAGAAATCAGTACTGTGGACGTGCAGGTGGTATAATGAACAATATCAAATTCAGGGAAATCGGTACTGTGGATGCGGTGGTATAATGAACAGCCACTCAGAATTAGAAATCGGTACCGCGGACGTGCGGGTGGTATAATGAACATCACCAGAATTAGAAATCGGTACATAAATTAAGCGGATACTGCGGGTGGGTATAATGAACAGCCACTCAGAATTAAATCGGTACCGCGGATGTGCGGTGGTATAAATGAACAGCCACCAGAATTAGAAATCGGTACTGCGGATGTGCGGGTGGTATAATGAACAGCCACCAGAATTAGGGAAATCAATTACTGCCGGATGTGCGGGTATATAATGAACAGCCACTCAGAATTAGAAATCGGTACTACGGATGTGCGGTGGTATAATGAAACAGCCACTCAAATTAGAAATCGGTACTGTGGATGTGCGGTGGTATAATGGTATAATTGAACAGCCATGTCGAATTGGGAATTAGAAATCGGTACTGCGGACGTGCAGGTGGTATAATGAACAGCCCTCAGAATTAGAAATCAATTGCGGACTGACCACTCAAGGGATGCGGGTGGCATAATTAGGGTGGTACCAGCGTAGACAATCAAAGAATCGGTAACTGGTGGATGCAGGTGGTATAATGAACAGCCACGAATTAGAATCGGTACTACAATGGACGTGCGGGTGGGTATAATGAACAGCCACTCAGAATTAGAACAATTACTGCGGATGTGCGGATGGTATAAATGAACAGCCACTCAGAATTAGGAAATCAAAATGCGGATGTCGGTTAATGTGGACATTTTTGCGGTGGTATAATGAACAGCCCTCAGAATTAGAATCGGTACTGTGGACAGAATTAGCGGGTGCGCGGTATAATGAAACAGCCACTCAGAATTAGAAAAATCGGTGGTATGACGAACAGCCACTCAGAATTAGAAATCGTGCTACGGATGTGCAGGTGGTATAATGAACGTCCTCAGAATTAGAAATCAGTACTGCGGATGTGCGGGTGGTATAATGAACAGCCACTCAGAATTAGAGAAATCAGTACTGTGGACGTGCCGGGTGGTACCATGAGCAGCCACTCAGAATTAGAAATTGTACTGTGGACGTGCGGGTGGTATAATGAACAGCCACTCAGAATTAGAAATCAGTACTGTGGACGTACGTAAATGAACAGCCACTCAGAATTAGGGAAAATCGGCACCGGTGGACGTGCGGGTGGCATAATGAACAGCCACCAGAATTAGAAATCAGTACGCGGATGTGCGGGTGGTGTATAATGAACAGCCACTCAGAATTAGAAACTGGTACCGTGGACGTGCGGGTGGTATAACGAAATACCACCAGAATTAGGAAATCAGCACTGGTGATGAATTGGTATAATGAACAGCCACTCAGAATTAGAAATCGGTACTGTGGATGTGCAGGTGGTATAATGAACAGTACCACTCAGTATAAATGAACAGCCACCAGAATTAGAACGGTACTGCGGATGTGCGGGTGGTATAATGAACAGCCACTCAGAATTAGAAATCGGTACTGCGGATGTGCAGGGGTATAATGAACAGCCACTCAGAATTAGAAATCCCGTACTGCGGATGTGCGGTGGTATAATGAACAGCCACTCAGAATTAGAAATCGGTACTGCGGATGTGCGGTGGTATAATGAACAGCCACTCAGAATTAGAAATCGGTACTGCGGATGTGCAGGTGGTATAATGAACAGCCACTCAGAATTAGAAATCGGTACTGTGGATGCGGGTGGTATAATGAACAGCCACTCAGAATTAGAAATCAGTACTGCGGATGTGCAGGTGGTATAAAACCACCCAGAATTAGAAATCGGTACTGCGGATGTGCGGGTGGTATAATGAACAATACTCAAATTAAATCGGTACTGCGGATGTGCGGGTGGTATAATGAACAGCCACTCAAATTAGAAATCGGTACTGCGGATGTGCGGGTGGTATAATGAACAGCCACTCAGAATTAGAAATCGGATGTACTGCCTCCAGGACGTGCTGGTGGTATAATGAACAGCCACTCAGAATTAGAAATCAGTACTGCGGACGTGCAGGTGGTATAATGAACAGCCACTCAGAATTAGAAATCCGTACTGCGGATGTGCGGGTGGTATAATGAACAGCCACTCAAATTAGAAATCAGTACTGCGGATGTGCGGGTGGTATAATGAACAGCCAGGTGGTACTCAAATTAGAAATCACTCAGTACTGCGGATGTGCAGGTGGTATAATGAACAGCCACTCAGAATTGAAATCAGTACTGCGGATGTGCGGGTGGTATAATGAACAGCCACTCAGAATTAGAAATCGGTACTGCGGACGTGCGGGTGGTATAATGAACAGCCACTCAGAATTAGAAATCCGTACTGCGGATGTGTACTGTGGGTGGTATAATGAACAGCCACTCAAATTAGAAATCAGTACTGCGGATGTGCGGGTGGTATAATGAACAGCCACTCAAATTAGAAATCAGTACTGCGGATGTGCGGGTGGTATAATGAACAGCCACTCAGGAATTAGAAATCCGTACTGCGGATGTGCAGGTGGTATAATGAACAGCCACTCAAATTAGAAATCGGTACTGTGGATGTGCGGGTGGTATAATGAACAGCCACTCAAATTGAAATCCGTACTGTGGATGTGCAGGTGGTATAATGAACAGCCACTCAAATTAGAAATCGGTACTGTGGATGTGCGGGTGGTATAATGAACAGCCACTCAAATTAGAAATCACTGTGGACGTGCGGGCCGGACTCAGAATTAGAAATCGGTGGAAAATCCGTACTGTGGATGTATAATAACAGCCACCCTCTCAAATTAGAAATCCGTACTGTGGACGTGCGGGTGGTATAATGAACAGCCACTCAGAATTAGAAATCCATACTGTGGATGTGCAGGTGGTATAATGAACAACCACTCAGAATTAGAAATCGGTACTGCGGACGTGCGGGTGGTATAATGAACGATGTTACTGCGGATGTGCGGGTGGTATGAAGACAGCCATCAAATTAGAACCGTACCTGTGGATGTGCAGGTAGTATAATGAACAGCCCCAGAATTAGAAATCGGTACTGTGGACGTGCAGGTGGTATAATGAACCACTCAGGAACACTGTGGACGTGGGTGGTATAATGAACACCAGAATTAGGAATCTGGTACCGTGGACGTGCGGGAGGTATAATGAACAGCCACTCAGGAATTAGAAATCGTTACTGCGGATGTTGGGTATAAATGAACAGCCATAGGAATTAGGGGAACCGTACTGCGGATGTGCGGTATAAATGAACAGCCACTCAGAATTAGAAATCGTTACTGTGGACGTGCGGGTGGTATAATGAACAGCCACCAGAATTAGAAATCGGTACTGCGGATGTGCGGTGGTATAATAACAACAGCCACTCAGAATTAGAAATCGGTACTGTGGACGTGCGGGTGGTATAAATGAACAGCCACTCAGAATTAGAAATCCGTATGCCGGATGTGCGGGTGGTATAATGAACAGCCACTCAGAATTAGAAATCGGTACTGCGGATAAAAGGGTGGTATAATGAACAGCCACTCAGAATTAGAAAATCAATTACTGTGGATGTGTGGGTGGTATAATGAAAACCACCAGAATTAGAAATCGGTACTGTGGACGTGCAGGTGAGTATAATGAACAGCCACCTGAATCAGAAAATTAGAAATCAGTACTGTAGAACGTGCAGGTGGTATAATGAAACAGCCACACCAGAATTAGAAATCGGTACTGTGGACGTGCAGGTGAGTATAATGAACAGCCACCAGAATTAGAAATCCAGTGCTGCGGATGTGCGGTGGTATAAAGAACAGCCACTCACAGAATTAAAATCGGTACTGCGGACGTGCGGTGGTATAACGAACAGCCACCAGAATTAAATCAGTACGGTGGACGTGCCGGTGGCGCAAGAACAGCCACTCAGAATTAGAAATCAGTACTGTGGACGTGCGGGCGGTATAATGAACAGCCATCCAGAATTAGGAAATCGGTACTGTGGACATTGCGGTGGTATAATGAACAGCCACTCAGAATTAGAAATCAGTACTGTGGACGTGCATGCGGTATATTAAACAGCCACCAGAATTAGAAATCGGTACTGTGGACGTGCAGGTGGTATAATGAACAGCCACCAGAATTAGAAATCGGTACTGCGGATGTGCGGGTGGTATAACGAACAGCCACCTGTGAATTAGAAATCGGTACTGCGGATGCGGGTGGTGGCAGCGAAATAGCCACCAGAATTAGGAATCGGTACTGCGATGTGCGGGTAAGTAATGAACAGCCACCAGAATTAGGAAATCGGTACTGCGGATGTGCGGGTGGCAATGAACAGCCACCAGAATTAGAAATCGGTACTGCGGATGTGCGGTGGTAATGAACAGCCACCAGAATAGAAATCGGCACCGGATGTGCGGGTAGCAATGAACAGCCACCAGAATTAGAATGGTACTGGGTGGATGTGCAAGGTATAAATGAATAGCCACCAGAATTAGAAAAATCGGTATCAGGATGTGGGTGGGTATAATGAATGAAGCCACCCAGAATCAGAAATCGGTACTGCGGATGCGCGGGTGGTATAATGAACAGCCACCAGAATTAGAAATCGGTACTGCGGATGTGCGTATAATGAACAGCCACCAGAATTAGAAATCGGCATCGGTGGATGTGCGGGTGGGCATAATGAACAGCCACCAGAATTAGAAATCGGTACCGCGGATGTGCGGGTGGCAAATGAACAGCCACCAGAATTAGGAACGGCAACAGGATGCGGTGGCATAATGAACAGCCACCAGAATTAGAAATCGGTACCGTGGACGTGCGGGTGGTATAAATGAACAGCCACCCAGAATAGAAATCGGTACCGCGGATGCGGTGGTATAATGAACAGCCACTCAGAATTAGAAATCGGTACCGTGGATGTGCGGGTGGTATAAATGAAATACCACCAGAATTAGAAATCGGCACTGCGGATGTGTGGGCAGCATAAATGAACAGCCACCAGAATTAGAAATCGGTGCACCAGAATTGTAAATCGGATGTGACGCGGCAGTATAAATGAACAGCCACCAGAATTAGAATCGGTACTGCGGATGCGGGTGGTATAAATGAACAGCCACTCAGAATTAGAAATTCAGTACTGTGGATGTGCGGGTGGTATAATGAACAGCCACCAGAATTAGAAATCGGTACTGCGGACGTGCAGGTGGTATAATGAACAGCCACCAGAATTAGAAATCGGTACTGCGGGTGGACGTGGGAAATCGGTGCGATAATGAACAGCCACCAGAATTAGAAATCGGTACACGGAGGATGCGGGTGGTATAATGAACAGCCACCCAGAATTAGAAATCGGTACTGCGGATGTGCGGGTGGTAAGCAATGAACAGCCACCAGAATTAGAAATCGGTACTGTGGACGTGCGGGTGGTATAATGAACAGCCACCAGAATTAGAAATCGGTACTGTGGACGTGCGGTGGTATAATGAACAGCCACCAGAATTAGAAATCGGTACTGCGGATGTGCGGGTGGTATAATGAACAGCCACCAGAATTAGGGAAATCGGTACTGCGGATGTGCGGTGGTATAACGAACAGCCACCAGAATTAGAAATCGGTACTGTGGATGTGCGGGTGGAATGACCACCTCGAATTAGAAATCGGTACGTGCGGTGCGGGTGGTATAAATGAACAGCCACCAGAATTAGAAATCGGTACTGTGGACGTGCGGGTGGTATAATGAACAGCCACCAGAATTAGAATCCGTACTGTGGACGTGCGGGTGGTATAATGAACAGCCACCAGAATTAGAAATCGGTACTGCGGACGTGCGGGTGGTATAATGAACAGCCACCAGAATTAGAAATCGGTACTGTGGACGTGCGGTGGGTATAACGAACAGCCACCAGAATTAGAAATCGGTACTGTGGACGTGCGGGTGGTATAATGAACAGCCACCAGAATTAGAAATCGGTACTGTGGACGTGCGGGTGGTATAATGAACAGCCACCAGAATTAGGGGAAATCGGTACTGTGGACGTGGGTGGTAAATGAACAGCCACCAGGTGAATTAGAAATCGGTACTGCGGACGTGCGGGTGGTATAATAGACAGCCACCAGAATTAGAAATCGGTACTGCGGATGCGGGTGGTAACGAACAGCCACCAGAATTAGAAAACTGTACTGTGGACGTGCGGGTGGCACCGAAACTCAAATCAGAATTAGTACTGTGGACGTGCGGGTGGTATAATGAACAGCCATTCAGAATTAGAAATCGGTACTGTGGATGTGCGGGTGGTATAATGAACAGCCACTCAGAATTAGAAACGGTACTGCGGATGTGCGGGTGGTATAATGAACAGCCACTCAGAATTAGAATCGGTCGGTAGGTGGTATAATGCCCTCAAATTAAAATCAATTGCACTGTGGACGTGCGGGTGGTATAATGAACAGCCACTCAGAATTAGAAATCGGTACTGCGGATGTGCAGGTGGTATAATGAACAGCCACTCAGAATTAGAAATCGGTACTGCGGACGTGCAGGGGTGGTATAATGAACAGCCACTCAGAATTAGAAATCGGTACTTTGGATGTGCGGGTGGTATAATGAACAGCCACTCATGGGGAGAATTAGAAATCAGTAGAAAACATTTTGTGGATGTGCAGGGTGGTATAATGAACAGCCACTCAGAATTAGAAATCGGTACTGTGGACGTGCGGGTGGTATAATGAACAGCCACCAGAATTAGAAATCGGTACTGTGGACGTGCGGGTGGGTATAATGAACAGCCACCAGAATTAGAAAAATCGGATATTTTGGGTGGTATAATGTGGACTGGATGTGCGGGTGGTATAATGAACACCACTCAGAATTAGAAATCGGAACTGTGGATGTGCGGGTGGTATAATGAAGAACTCGGAAATCGGTACTGCGGACGCAGGTGGTATAATGAACAGCCACCAGAATTAGAAATCGGTACTGTGCGGGTGGACGAACAACCACTGGAGGGAACAGGTCAGTACACGGATGTGCGGGTGGTATAGCCAAATTAGAAATCACCGTGGACGTGCGGGTGGTATAATGAACAGCCACCAGAATTAGAAATCGGCACCCGTGGACGTGCGGGTGGTATAATGAACAGCCACCAGAATTAGGAAATCGGTACTGAAATTGGATCAATTTGCGGGTGGTATAATGAACAGCCACCAGAATTAGAAACCCGGTACCATGGACATGCGGATTGGTATAATGAACAGCCACTCAGAATTAGAAATAATTTTGCGGATAGGGTGGTATAATGAACAGCCACCAGAATTACTGCGGAAATGAACGCCACTCAAATTAGAAATCGTGACGGTGGTATAATGAACAGCCACCAGAATTAGAAATCGGTACTGTGGACGTGGTGGCAAAGGAACAGCCACTCAGAATTAGAAATCGGTACTGCCGGATGTGCGGGGTATAATGAACAGCCACCAGAATTAGGGAAATCATTACTGCGGACGTGCGGGGTATAATGAACAGCCACCAGAATTAGAAATCGGTACTGTGGATGTGCGGGTGGTATAATGAACAGCCACTCAGAATTAGAAATCGGTACTGTGGACGTGCGGGTGGTATAAATGAACAGCCACTCAGAATTAGAAATCGGTACTGTGGATGTGCAGGTATAATGAACAGTATAGAAATGAACAGCCACTCAGAATTAGAAATCGGTACTGTGGATGTGCGGGTGGTATAATGAACAGCCACTCAGAATGTGCGGGTGGTATAATGAAATCGGTACTGTGGATGTGCGGGTGGTATAATGAACAGCCACTCAGAATTAGAAATCGGTACTCGGATGTGGGTGGTATAATGAACAGCCACTCAGAATTTAAATCGGTACTGTGGATGTGCAGGTGGTATAATGAACAGCCACTCAGAATTGAAATCCGCCACAGGGTGGTATAATGAACAGAATTAGAAATCGGTACTGTGGACGTGCGGGTGGTGGTATAATGAACAGCCACTCAGAATTAGAAATCGGTACTGCGGATGTGCGGGTGGTATAATGAACAGAAATCCACTGCCAGAATTAGGAAATCGGTACTGTGGATGTGCGGGTGGTATAATGAACAGCCACTCAGAATTAGAAATCGGTACAGAATTAGATCGGATGGACGTGCAGGTGGTATAATGAACAGCCACTCAGAATTAGAAATCGGTACTGTGGACGTGCGGGTGGTATAATGAACAGCCACCAGAATTGGTGTATAATGAACTCGGTAGAAATCCGTACTGTGGACGTGCGGGTGGTATAATGAACAGCCACTCAGAATTAGAAATCGGTACTGTGGACGTGCGGGTGGTATAATGAACAGCCACTCAGAATTGAAAACTGTGGACGTGCGGGTGGTATAATGAGCACCCTCAGAATTAGAAATCGGTACTGCGGATGTGCGGGTGGGTATAATGAACAGCCACTCAGAATTAGAAATCGGTACTGTGGACGTGACAGCATAAATTAGGGTGGTATAATGAACAGCCACTCAGAATTAGAAAATTGGACGTGCGGGTGGAAATGAACAGCCACTCAGAATTAGAAATCGGTACTGTGGACGTGCGGTGGTATAATGAACAGCCACCAGAATTAGGAAATCGGTACTGTGGACGTGCGGGTGGTATAATGAACAGCCACTCAGAATTAGAAATCGGTACTGTGGACGTGCGGGTGGTATAATGAACAGCCACTCAGAATTAGAAATCGGTACTGTGGACGTGCAGGGGTGGTATAATTGAACAGTACTGTGGACGTGCAGGTGGTATAATGAACAGCCACCAGAATTAGAAATCGGTACTGTGGACGTGCGGGTGGTATAATGAACAGCCACTCAGAATTAGAAATCGGTACTGTGGACGTGCGGGGTATAATGAACAGCCACCAGAATTAGAAATCGGTACTGTGGAAGTGCGGGTGGTATAATGAAAGCCACCAGAATTAGCCTATGGACGTGCGGGTGGTATAATGAACAGCCACTCAGAATTAGAAATCGGTACTGTGGACGTGCGGGTGGTATAATGAACAGCCACCAGAATTAGAAATCGGTACTGTGGACGTGCGGTGGAAGCACGAACAGCCACCAGAATAGGGAACGGTACTGTGGACGCGGGTATAATGGCTCGAGCCACCAGAACGAAACCTGGTACCGTGACGTGGCAGGAATGATCACCAGCCACTCAGAATTAGGAAATCGGTACTGTGGACGTGCGGGCAGGTGGCGGAATGAACAGCCACCAGAATTAGGAAATCGGCACTGTGGACGTGTGCGGTATAACGAACAGCCACCAGAATTAGAAATCGGTACTGTGGACGGTGGGTGGTATAATGAACAGCCACCCAGAATTGTAGAAACCCGGCATCAGACGCGGGTGGCAATGAACAGCCACCAGAATTAGAAATCGGTACTGTGGACGTGCGGGTGGTATAATGAACAGCCACTCAGAATTTTAAGAAATCGGTACTGTGGATGTGGGTGGCGAATGAACAGCCACCAGAATTAGAATCTGTACAGATGTGGGAGCCCTCGCAAAATCAGTACTGGGATATTGCGGGTGGTATAATGAACAGCCACTCAGAATTAGAAATCGTGGCGGATGTGCAGGTGGTGGATCGGTACTGCGGATGTGCAGGTGGTATGCATCAAACGAAATCATGCTGGCCACCCAGAATTAGAAATGTGCGGTATAATGAATCAGGACAAGAAATGGGGATGCGGATGTGGTGGTATAATGAACTAGCCAAATTAGAAAATCCAGAATTGCAGGGTGGTATAATCGGTACCGTGGACAATTACTGCGGATGTGGTTGGTATAATGAACAGCCACCAGAATTAGGGAAATCGGTACTGTGGATATGCGGGTGGGTATAATGAACAGCCACCAGAAATCGGTACTGCGGATATTTTGGGTGGGGAAATTAGAAGTGGTACTGCGGATGTGGCACTGTGGATGTGCGGGTGGTATAATGAACAGCCACCAGAATTAGAAATCGGTACTGCGGATGTGCGGGTGGTATAATGAACAGCCACCAGAATTAGAAATCGGTACTGCGGAAGCGCAGGTGGTATAATGAACAGCCACCGTGAATTAGAAATCGAGCCTGCGGATGTGCGGGTGGTGGTGAACAACCACTAACGAATCAGCCGGAGTGGTACGTGAACAGAATTGAAATCAGTACTACGGATGTGCGGACTCGAATACAGCAGATATAATGAACAGCCACTCAGAATTGGGAAATCGTTTTCTGGTACGGGTGGTATAATGGACTGCGGATTATTGCGGGTGGTATAATGACAGCGAATTGATTACGGAGCCATCCTCGAATTAGAAATCGGTACTGGGGTGGAAACGTACTGCGGTGGTATAATGAACAGCCACTCAAATTAGAATTAATTTTGCGGAAATCGGCCACTCAGAATTAGAAATGGACGTGCCGGGTGGTATAATGAACAGCCACTCAGAATTAGAAATCGGTACTGCGGATGGCGGGTGGTATAATGAACAGCCCTCAGAATTAAATTTGCGGATGTGCGGATATAAGAAATCAGGAATTAGAAAGAAATCGGTACTGCGTGGTGGTATAAATGAACAGCCACCAGAATTAGAAATCGGTACTGCCGGATGCGGGTGGAGTATAATGAACAGCCACTCAGAATTGAAGGGAATCAATTACTGCGGATGTGGGTGGTATAATGAACAGCCACCAGAATTAGAAATTCGATATAATTGGTATAATGAACAGCCACTCAGTGGATCGTGCGGATGTGCAGGTGGTGGCAATGAACAGCCACCAGAATTAGAAATCGGCACTGGGTGGTGTTATAATAGACAGCCACTCAGGAAATCGTGCGGATGCGGTATAATGAACAGCCACTCAGAATTAGAAATCGGTACTGCGGATGCGGGTGGTATAACAAACAGCCCTCAGAATTAGAAATCGGTACTGCGGATGTGCGGGGTGGTAGAAAACTGGTACCTGCGGATGGTGTAATGAACTCCCAGAATTAGAAATCGGTACTGCGGATGTGCGGTGGTATAATGAACACCCTCCAGAATTAGAAATCGGTACTGGATGTGCGGGTATAATGAACAGCCACCAGAATTAGAAATCAGTACTGGTGACGGGTGGATGAATGTTTTACCAGAATTAGGGTACCGCGGATGCGGGTGGTATAACGAACAGCCACTCAGAATTAGAAATCGGTACTGTGCGGATGCGGTGGTTTTGTTCACCCAGGATGTGCGGATGTGCGGTGGTATAATGAACAGCCACCAGAATTGAAATCGGTACTGCGGATGTGCGGGTGGTATAATGAACAGCCACTCTGAATTAGAAATCGGTAACTGCGGATGTGCGAATTGGTACTCAATGAACAGCCACTCAGAATTAGAAATCGCACTGCGGATGCGGTGAACAGCCACTGAAATCGGTACTGCGGATGCGGGTGGTGTAATGAACAGCCACCAGAATTAGGAAATCGGTACTGCGGATGTGCGGGTGTATAATGAACAGCCACTCAGAATTAGAAATCCGGTACTGCGGATGTGCGGGTGGTATAATGAACAGCCACTCAGAATTAGAAATCGGTACTGCGGATTTTTCACCAGGAAATGTGCGGATGCGGGTGGTATAATGAACAGCCACCAGAATTAGAAATCGGTACTACGGATGTGCGGGTGGTATAATGAACAGCCACTCAGAATTAGAAATCGGTACTGCGGATGTGCGGGTGGTATAATGAACAGCCACTCAGAATTAGGAAATCGGTACCGCGGATGTGCGGGTGGTATAATGAACAGCCACCAGAATTAGGAAATCGGTACTGCGGATGTGCGGGCTGGTATAATGAACAGCCACTCAAATTAGAAATCGGTACTGCGGATGTGCGGGTGGTATAATGAACAGCCACTCAGAATTAGGAAATCGGTACTGCGGATGTGCGGGTGGTATAATGAACAGCCACTCAGAATTAGAAATCGGTACTGCGGATGTGCGGGTGGTATAACGAGCAGCCACTCAGAATTAGGGAAATCGGTACTGCAGACAGCATAAATTAGAAATCGAGCCTGCGGATGTGCGGGTGGTAAATGAACAGCCACTCAATTAGAATTGCGGAGAAGCCACTCGGTACTGCGGACGTGCGGGTGGTATAATGAACAGCCACCAGAATTAGAAATCGGTACTGCGGATGTGCGGGTGGTATAATGAACAACCACCAGAATTAGAAATCGGTACTGCGGATGTGGGTGGTGGTATAATGAACAATACCAGAATTAGAAATCGGTAACGGGTGGACGTGCGGATGGTATACCGTGAACAGCCACTCAGAATTAGAAATGGTACTGTGGACGTGCAGGTGGTATAATGAACAGCCACTCAGAATTAGAAATCGGTACTGCGGACGTGCGGGTGGTATAACGAACAGCCCCAGAATTAGAAATCGGTACTGTGGATGTGCGGGTGGTATAATGAACAGCCACCAGAATTAGAAATCGGTACTGCGGATGTGCGGGTGGTATAACGAAAGCCACGGAATTAGAAATTTGGAGTGTGCGGGTGGTATAATGAAACAGCCACCAGAATTAGAAATCGGTACTGTGGATGCGGGTGGTATAATGAACAGCCACTCAGAATTAGAAATCGGTACTGCGGACGTGCGGGTGGTAGCCACCAGAATTAGAACTGCGGATGCGGGTGGTAGCCACCAGAATTTAGAAATCGGTACTGTGATGTGCGGGTGGTATAATGAACAGCCACTCGAATTAGAAATCGGTACCGCGGATGCGGTTGGTATAACGAACAGCCACCAGAATTAGAAATCGGTACTGTGGACGTGCGGGTGGTATAAATGAACAGCCACCAGAATTCGGGGAAATCGGTACTGTGGATGCGGCGGGTATAATGAACAGCCACCAGAATTAGAAATCGGTACTGTGGACGTGCGGGCGGTAAATGAACAGCCACCAAATTAAAATCGGTACTGCGGATGCGGGTGGTATAATGAACAGCCTTCCAGAATTAGAAATCCCGGATGCGGTGGTATAATGAAGCCACCAGAATTAGAAATCGGTACTGTGGACGTGCGGGTGGTATAATGAACAACCTCAGAGCTGCGGACCGGGTGGTATAATGAATTAGAACCGCACCGCGGATGTGCGGGTGGTATAATGAACAGCCACCAGAATTAGGACTGCGGATGTGCGGGGGTAGAATGAACAGCCACCAGAATTAGAAATCGGTACTGTGGACGTGCGGGTGGTATAATGAACAGCCACCAGAATTAGAAATCGGTACTGCGGATGTGCGGGTGGTATAATGAATAGCCACTCAGAATTAGAAATCGTACTGTGGACGTGCGGGTATATAAATGAACAGCCACTCAGAATTAGAAATCGGTACTGGTGGATGTGCGGGGTGGTATAATGAACAGCCACTCAGAATTAGAAATCGAGCCGTACTGCGGACGTGCGGTGGTATAATGAACAGCCACCAGAATTAAAAATCGGTACTGTGGACGTGCGGGGTGGTATAACGAACAGCCACCAGGAATTAGAATCGGTACTGCGGACGTGCGGGTGGTATAATGAACAGCCACTCAGAATTAGAGAGAAATCGGTACTGCGGACGTGCGGGTGGTATAATGAACAGCCACCAGAATTAGAAATCGGTACTGCGGACGTGCGGGTGGTATAATGAACAGCCACCAGAATTAGGAAATCCGTACTGCGGACGTGCGGGTGGTATAATGAACAGCCACCAGAATTAGAAATCGGTACTGTGGACGTGCGGGTGGTATAATGAACAGCCACCAGAATTAGAAATGTACCTGCGGATGTGCGGGTACTGAACAGCCACCAGAATTAGGACTGCGGACGCGGGGTATAATGAACAGCCACCAGAATTAGAACCAAACTGCGGGTGCGGGTGGTATAATGAACAGCCATCAGAATTAGAAATGGATTGCGGGTGGTATAATGAACAGCCACCAGAATTAGAAACCGGTATAATACTGTGGACGTGCGGGTGGTGGTATAATGAACAGCCACTCAGAATTAGAAATCGGTACTGTGGACGTGCGGGTGGGTATAATGAACAGCCCTCAGAATTAGAAATCGGTACTGTGGATGGTATAATGAACAGCCACCAGAATTAGAAATCTGGTGTGGACGTGCGGGTGGTATAATGAACAGCCACCAGAATTAGAAATCGGTACTGCGGACATGCGGGTGGTGGACGTACTCAGATCGGTAATGAGGACTGCGGACGTGCGGGTGGTATAATGAACAGCCACTCAGAATTAGAAATCGGTACTGCGGACGTGCGGGTGGTATAATGAACCAGAATTAGAAATCCACCGGACGCGGGTGGTATAATGAACAAATCGGTACCGTGGACGTGCGGTGGTATAATGAACAGCCACTCAGAATTAGAAATCGGTACTGTGGACGTGCGGGTGGTAATAAGCCACCAGAATTAGGAAATCGGTACTGTGGACGTGCGGGTGGTATAATGAACAAACTCAGAATTAGAAATCGGTACTGTGGACGTGCGGGTGGTATAATGAACAGCCACCAGAATTGTAGAACGGTACTGTGGACGTGCGGAATGAACAGCCACTCAGAAGAAATCGGTACTGTGGACGTGCGGGTGGTATAAACGAACAGCCCAGAATTCAGGGAATCGGTACTGTGGACGTGCACCGGGTGGGCGCAATGAACAGCCACCAGAATTAGAAATCGGTACTGTGGACGTGCGGGTGGTATAATGAACAGCCACCAGAATTAGAAATCGGTACTGTGGACGTGCGGGTGGTATAATAACAGCCACTCAGAATTTAAAAGAATTGGACGTGCGGGTGGTATAATGAACAGCCACCAGAATTGAAATCAATTACTGGTACGTGGACGGGTGGGCAATGAACAGCCACCAGAATTAGAAATCGGTAACGGTGGACGGGCGGGTATGCAATGAACAGCCACCAGAATTAGAAATCAGTACTGTGGACGCGGGTGGTATAACGAACAACAGCCACCAGACCAGGGAAATCGGTACTGTGGACGTGCCGGGTGGTATAGCAATGAACAGCCACCTCAGAATTAGAAATCAGGTACTGTGGACGTGCGGGTGGTATAATGAACAGCCACCAGAATTAGAAATCGGTACTGCATGGACGTGCGGGTGGTATAATGAACAGCCACCAGAATTAGAAATCGGTACTGTGGATGTGCGGGTGGTATAATGAACAGCCACCAGAATTAGAAATCGGTACTGTACGTGCGGGTGGTATAATGAACAGCCACTCAAATTAGAAATCGGTATTGCGGACGTGCGGGTGGTATAATGAACAGCCACCAGAATTAGAAATCGGTACTGCGGACGTGCGGGTGGTATAATGAACAGCCAGAATTAGAAATCGGGTACTGCGGATGTGCGGGTGGTATAATGAACAGCCACCAGAATTAGAAATCGGTACTGGTGGACGTGCGGTGGTATAATGAACAGCCACCAGAATTAGAAATCGGTACTGTGGATGTGCGGGTGGTATAGCAGCCACTCAGAATGAACAGCCACTCAGAATTAAGAAATCGGTACTGCGGATGCGGGTGGTATAACGAACAGCCACCAGAATTAGAAATCGGTACTGCGGACGTGCGGGTGGTATAATGAACAGCCACCAGAATTAGAAATCGGTACTGTGGACGTGGTGGTGGTATAATGAACAGCCACCAGAATTAGAAATCGGTACTGTGGACGTGCGGGTGGGGTGGTATAATGAACAGCCACTGAACAGCCACCAGAATTAGAAATCGGTACTGCGGACGTGCGGGTGGTATAATGAACAGCCACTCAGAATTAGAAATCGGTACTGCGGATGCGGGTGGTATAATGAACAGCCACCAGAATTAGAAACGGTGCGGATGTGAGGGTGGTATAATGAACAGCCACCAGAATTAGAAATCGGTACTGGTGGACGTGCGGGTGGTATAATGAACAGCCACTCAGAATTAGAAATCGGTACTTTGAACAGCCACCAGGATCGGTACTGCGGATGGGGTGGTATAATGAACAGCCATTCAGAATTAGGAAATCGGTACTGTGGAAATCGGTACGGTGTGCGGTGGTATAATGAACAGCCACCAGAATTAGAAATCGGTACTGCGGACGTGCGGGTGGTATAATGAACAGCCCAACAGAATTAGAAATCGGTACTGCGGATGTGCGGGTGGTATAATGAACAGCCACCAGAATTAGAAATCGGTACTGCGGATGTGCGGGTGGGTATAATGAACAGCCACCAGAATTAGAAATCGGTACTGCGGATGCGGGTGGTATAACAACAGCCACCAGAATTGAAATCGGTACCGGTGGGTGCGGGTGGTATAATGAACAGCCACCAGAATTAGGAAACTGCGGAATTAGAAATCGGTACGTGCGGGTGGTATAATGAACAGCCACCAGAATTAGAAACGGTACTGTGGACATGCGGGTGGTATAACGAACAGCCACCAGAATTAGAAATCGGTACTGTGGACGTGCGGGCGGGTGGTATAATGAACAGCCACCAGAATTAGAAACGGTACTGTGGACGTGCGGGTGGCAATGAACAGCCACTCAGACCAGAAATCCGTGCGGGTGTGCGGGTATAATGAACAGCCACTCAGAATTAGAAATCGGTACTGTGGATGTGCGGGTGGTAATGAACAGCCACCAGAATTAGAAATCGGTACTGTGGACGTGCGGGTGGTATAATGAACAGCCACTCAGAATTAGAAATCGGTACTGTGGACGTGCGGGTGGTAATGAACAGCCACTCAGAATTAGGGAAATCGGTACTGTGGACGTGCAGGTGGTATAATGAACAGCCCACCAGAATTAGAAATCGGTACTGTGGACGCGGTGGTATAATTAGAACAGCCACTCAGAATTAGGAAATCGGTACTGCGGACGTGCGGGTGGTATAATGAACAGCCACTCAGAATTAGAAATCGGTACTGAGGATGTGGGTGGTATAATGAACAGCCACCAGAATTAGAAATCGGTACTGTGGACGTGCGGGTGGTATAATGAACAGCCACTCAGAATTAGAAATCGGTACTGTGGACGTGCGGGTGGTATAATGAACAGCCACCAGAATTAGAAATCGGTACTGTGGATGTGCGGGTGGTATAATGAACAGCCCTCAGAATTAGAAATCGGTATCGTGGACGTGCGGGTGGTATAATGAACAGCCACCAGAATTAGAAAATCGGTACTGTGGACGTGCGGGTGGTATATGAACAGCCACCAGAATTAGAAATCGGTACTGTGGTGTGCGGTGGTATAATGAACAGCCACTCAAATTAGAAATCGGTACTGTGGACGTGCGGGGTGGTATAATGAACAGCCACCAGAATTAGAAATCGGTACTGCGGACGTGCGGGTGGTATAATGAACAGCCACCAGAATTAGAAATCGGTACTGTGGACGTGCGGGTGGTATAATGAACAGCCACCAGAATTAGAAATCGGTACTGCGGATGTGAACAGACGCGGGTATAACGAACAGGGAAATGGTATACTGTGGATGAGGTGGTATAATGACCAGAATTAGAAATCGGTACTGTGGACGTGCGGGTGGTATAATGAACAGCCCTCAGAATTAGAAATCGGTACTGTGGATGTGCGGGTGGTATAATGAACAGCCACTCAGAATTAGAAATCGGTACTGTGGACGTGCGGGTGGTATAATGAACAGCCACCAGAATTAGAAATCGGTACTGTGGACGTGCAGGTGGTATAATGAAGCCACCAGAATTAGAAATCGGTACTGTGGATGTGCGGGTGGCCATTCAGAATTAGAAATGAACAGCCACTCAGAATTAGAAATCGGTACTGTGGACGTGCGGGTGGTATAATGAACAGCCACCAGAATTAGAAATCGGTAAATCGGTACTGTAGAAATCGGACGTGGATGCGGGTGGCATAATGAACAGCCACCAGAATTAGAAATCGGTATCGGATGTGCGGGTGGTATAATGAACAGCCACGTGCAAAGAATTAGAAATCGGTACTGTGGACGTGCGGGTGGTATAATGAACAGCCACCAGAATTAGAAATCGGTGGACGTGCGGGTGGGACAGCCACCAGCGAAAATCGGTGGTATAATGAACAGCCCTCAAATTAGAAATCGGTACCAATGGACGTGCAGATTGGTATAATGAACAGCCACTCAGAATTAGAAATCGGTACTGTGGACTCGGGTGGTATAAAACAGCCACTCAGAATTAGAAATCGGTACTGTGGACGTGCGGGTGGTATAATGAAGTAAGCCACCAGAATTAGAAATCGGTACTGCGGACGTGCGGGTGGTATAATGAACAGCCACTCAGAATTAGAAATCGGTACATGGATGTGCGGGTATAATGGACGTGCGGGTGGTATAATGAACCCAGAATTAGAAATCGTTACAGAATTGCGGACGTGCGGATGGGTATAATGAACAGCCACCCAGAATTAGAAATCGGTACTGTGGACGTGCGGGTGGTATAATGAACAGCCACTCAGAATTAGAAATCGGTACTGCGGATGTGCGGGTGGTATAATGAACAGCCACCAGAATTAGAAAATCGGTACTGTGGACGTGCGGGTGGTGGCAATGAACAGCCACTCAGAATTAGAAAATGCGGTACTGTGGACAGAATTAGGAAATCGGCGCGGATGTGCGGGTGGTATAATGAACAGCCACCAGAATTAGAATCGGTACTGCGGGTACTGTATAATGGCCATCAGAATTAGAAATCGGCGCGGATGTGCGGGTATAATGAACAGCCACCAGAATTAGAAATCGGTACTGTGGATGCGGTGGTATAATGAACAGCCACTCAGAATTAGAAATCGGTACTGTGGACGTGCGGGTGGTATAATGAACAGCCACTCAGAATTAGAAATCGGTACCGGTGGACGTGCGGGTGGTATAATGAACAGCCTCCAGAATTAGAAATCGGTACTGTGGACGTGCGGTGGTATAATGAACAGCCACTCAGAACGGGAAATCGGTACTGGACGTGCGGGTGGTATAATGAACAGCCACCAGAATTAGAAATCGGTACTGCGGACGGTGAGGGGTGGTATAATGAACAGCCACTCAGAATTAGGAAATCGGTACTGTGGACGTGCGGGTGGTATAATGAACAGCCACTCAGAATTAGAAATCGGTACTGCGGGTGGGTATAAATGAACAGACAGAATTAGTCGGTACGGGTGTGGTATAATGAACAGCCACCAGAATTAGAAATCGGTACTGCGGACGTGCGGGTGGTATAATGAACAGCCACCAGAATTAGTAAATCGGTGAACTGGACGTGTAACGGGTGGGTATAATGAACAGCCACTCAGAATTAGAAATCGGTACTGTGGATGTGCGGGTGGTATAATGAACAGCCACTCAGAATTAGAAATCGGTACTGCGGACGTGCGGGTGGTAATGAACAGCCACCAGAATTAGAAATCGGTACTGCGGACGTGCGGGTGGTATAATGAACAGCCACCAGAATTAGAAATCGGTACTGCGGACGTGCGGGTGGTATAATGAACAGCCACAGAATTAGAAATCGGTACTGAGGATGTGCGGGTGGTATAATGAAACAGCCACTCAGAATTAGAAATCGGTACTGTGGATGCGGGTGGTATAATGAACAGCCACCAGAATTAGAAATCGGTACTGCGGACGTGCGGGTGGTATAATGAACAGCCATCAGAATTAGAAATCGGTACTGAAATCGGACGTGCGGGTGGTATAATGAACAGCCACTCAAATTAGAAATCGGTACTGCGGACGTGCGGTGGTATAATGAACAGCCACCAGAATTAGAAATCGGTACTGCGGATGTGCGGGTGGTATAATGAACAGCCACCAGAATTCGGGGAAATCGGTACTGCGGACGTGGGTGGTATAATGAACAGCCACCAGAATTAGAAATCGGTACTGCGGATGTGCGGGTATAATGAACAGCCACCAGAATTAAAATCGGTACTGCGGATGCGGGTGGTATAATGAACAGCCACCAGAATTAGAAATCGGTACTGCGGATTGCGGTGGTATAATGCGCCACCAGAATTAGAAATCGGTACTGTGTATGGACGTGCGGGTGGTATAACGAACAGCCACCAGAATTAGAAATCGGTACTGAACAGCCACCAGTGGACGTGCGGGTGGTATAATGAACAGCCACCAGAATTAGAAATCGGTACTGCGGATGTGCGTGCAGCCACTCAGGTCGGTATAAATAGAACAGCCACCAGAATTAGAAATCGGTACTGTGGACGTGCGGGTGGTATAATGAACAGCCACCAGAATTAGAAATCGGTACTGTGGATGCGGGTGGTATAATGAACAGCCACTCAGAATTAGAAAATGCGGGGTGGGTACTGTGGACGTGCGGATGTGCGGTGGTATAATGAACAGCCACCAGAATTAGAAATCGGTACTGTGGACGTGCGGGGCGGTATAATGAACAGCCACCAGAAATTGAAAATCGGCATCAGGACGTGCGGGTGGTATAATGAACAGCCACCAGAATTAGAAATCGGTACTGCGGACGTGCAGGGTGGGTATAATGAAACAGCCACCAGAATTAGGAAATCGGCACTGTGGACGGCGGGTGCAATGAACAGCCACCAGGAAACGTGGACGTGCGGTGGTATAATGAACAGCCACTCAGAATTAGGAATCGGTACTGCGGACGTGCGGGTGGTATAATGAACAGCCACCAGAATTAGAAATCGGGTAACGAACAGCCACTGTGGACTGCGTGCGGGTGGTATAATGAACAGCCCTCAGAATTAGAAATCGGTACTGTGGACGTGCGGGTGGTATAATGAACAACCACCAGAATTAGAAACCGGTACTGCGGACGTGCGGGTGGTGGGTATAATGAACAGCCTTTCAGAATTAGAAATCGGTACTGTGGACGTGCGGGTGGTATAATGAACAGCCACTCAGAATTAGAAATCGGTACTGTGGACGATGCGGTGGTATAATGAACAGCCACCAGAATTAGAAATCGGTACCGTGGACGTGCGGTGGTATAATGAACAGCCACCAGAATTAGAAATCGGTACTGTGGACGTGCTGAGGATGTGGGTGGTATAATGAACAGCCACCACCAGAATTGTGGAAATCGGTACAGAATTGAAATCGGACGGTGCGGGTGGTATAATGAACAGCCACTCAGAATTAGAAATCGGTACTGTGGATGAGGTGGTATAATGAACAGCCACCAGAATTAGAAATCGGTACTGTGCCGGGTGGTATAATGAACAGCCACCAGAATTAGAAATCGGTACTGTGGACGTGCGGGTGGTATAACGAACAGCCACTCAGAATTAGAAATCGGTACTGTGCGGGTGGTATAATGGACGTGCGGGTGGTATAATGAACAGCCACCAGAATTAGAAATCGGTACTGTGGACGTGCGGGTGGTATAATGAACAGCCACCAGAATTAGGAAAAATAAGGCAATGAAATCGGTACTGTGGACGTGCAATTGGTATAATGAACAGCCACTCAGAATTAGAAATCGGGACGTGTGGGTGGTATAATGAACAGCCACTCAGAATTAGAAATCGGTACTGTGGACGTGCGGTGGTATAATGAACAGCCACCAGAATTAGGGAAATCGGTACTGTGGACGTGCGGGTGGTATAATGAACAGCCACCAGAATTAGAAATCAGTACCAATATGGACGTGCGGGTGGTATAACGAACAACAGCCACCAGAAGGGAAATCGGTACTGTGGACGTGGCGGTGGTATAATGAACAGCCACCAGAATTAAATCGGTACTGTGGACGGACGGGCGGTAGGGTATAATGAACAGCCACCAGAATTTAGAAATCGGTACTGTGGACGTGCGGGTGGTATAATGAACAGCCACCAGAATTAGAAATCGGTACCGTGGACGTGCGGGTGGTATAATGAACAGCCACTCAGAATTAGAAACTGTGGACGTGCGGGTGGTAACGAACAACCTCAAATTGAATTGTAGGAAATTTACTGCGGATGTGCGGGTGGTATAATGAACAGCCACCAGAATTAGGAATCGGTACTGCGGACGTGCGGTGGCGCAATGAACAGCCACTCAGAATTAGAAATCGGTACTGTGGACGTGCGGGTGGTATAATGAACAGCCACCAGAATTAGAAATCGGTACTGTGGACGTGCGGTGGTGAACAGCCACCAGAATAGAAATCGGTACTGTGGATGTGCGGTGGCAGGCAATGAACAGCCACCAGAATTAGAAATCGGTACTGTGGACGCAGCGGGTGGTATAATGAACAGCCACTCAGAATTAGAAATCGGTACTGTGGACGGTGGTGGTATAATAATGAACAGCCACCAGAATTAGAAATCGGTACTGTGGACGTGCGGTGGTGGCAATGAACAGCCACCAGAATTAGAAATCATTTACTGTGGACGGCGGGTGGTATAATGAACAGCCACCAGAATAGAATCGGTACTGCGGACTCAGAATTAGAAACCGGTACTGTGGACGGTACTGCGGGTGGTATAATGAACAGCCACCAGAATTAGAAATCGGTACCGTGGACGTGCGGGCGGTATAATGAACAGCCACCAGAATTAGAAATCGGTACTGTGGACGCGGGTGGTATAATGAACAGCCACCAGAATTAGGAAATCGGTACTGTGGACGTGCGGGTGGTATAATGAACAGCCACCAGAATTAGAAAACGGTACTGCGGATGTGCGGGTGGTATAATGAACAGCCACTCAGAATTAAAGAAATCGGTACTGAAATCGGGACGTGGGTGGTGGGTATAATGAACAGCCACCAGAATTAGAAATCGGTACTGTGGACGTGCGGGTGGTAGCATAATGAACAGCCACCAGAATTAGAAATCGGTACCGCGGATGTGCGGGTGGTATAATGAACAGCCACCAGAATTAGAAATCGGTACTGTGGATGTGGGGGTGGTATAATGAACAGCCCACCAGAATTAGAAATCGGTACTGTGGACGTGCAGGTGGTATAATGAACAGCCCTCAGAATTAGAAATCGGTACTGTGGACGTGCGGTGGTATAACGGCCACCAGAATTAGAAATCAGTGTGGACGTGCGGGTGGGCAATGAACAGTCAGGATCGGCATCAGGACGTGCGGGTATAATGAACAGCCACTCAGAATTAGAAATCGGTACTGTGGACGTGCGGGTGGTATAATGAACAGCCACCAGAATTAGAAATCGGTACTGTGGACGTGCGGGTGGTATAATGAACAGCCACCAGAATTAGAAATCGGTACTGTGGATGTGCGGGTGGTATAATGAACAGCCACTCAGAATTAGAAATCGGTACTGTGGACGCGGGTGGTATAATGAACAGCCACCAGAATTAGAAATCGGTACTGTGGACGTGCGCGGTGGTATAATGAACAGCCAGAATTAGAAATCGGTACTGCGGATGTGCGGGTGGTATAATGAACAGCCTCAGAATTAGAAATCGGTACTGTGGACGTGCGGTGTATAATGAACAGCCACCAGAATTAGAAATCGGTACTGTGGACGTGCGGGTGGTATAATGAACAGCCACTCAGAATTAGAATCGGTGGACGTGCGGGTGGAGCAATGAACAGCCATTCAGAATTAGAAATCGGTACTGTGGAAGTGCGGTGGTATAATGAACAGCCACTCAGAATTAGAAATCGGTACTCGTGGACGTGCGTTGGTATAATGAACAGCCACCAGAATTAGAAATCGGTACTGTGGACGTGCGGGTGGTATAATGAACAGCCACCAGAATTAGAAATCGGTACTGTGGATGTGCAGAATTGGTATAATGAACAGCCACCAGAATTAGAAATCGGTACTGTGGACGTGCGGGTGGTATAATGAACAGCCACTCAGAATTAGAAATCAGACGTACCGGGTGGTGGATGTGAAATCACTGTGGGTGCGGGGTATAATGAACAGCCACCAGAATAGGAAATCGGTACTGTGGACGTGCGGGTGGTATAATGAACAGCCACTCAGAATTAGAAATCGGTACTGTGGACGCGGTGGCATCAGAATTAGAAATCGGTACTGTGGACGTGCGGGTGGTATAATGAACAGCCACCAGAATTAGAAATCGGTACTGTGGACGTGGTGGTATAATGAACAGCCACTCAGAATTAGAAACGGGTACTGTGGACGTGAGGGTGGTATAATGAACAGCCACTCAGAATTAGAAATCGGTACTGTGGACGTGCGGGTGGTATAACGAACAGCCACTGCAATTAGAAATCAGTGCTCGGGACGTGCGGGTGCGGGTATAATGAACAGCCATTCAGAATTAGAAACGGTACTGTGGACGTGCGGGTGGTATAATGAACAGCCACTCAGAATTAGAAAAATCGGTACATAATGAACAGCCACCAGAATTAGATCGGTACTCGTGGTGCGGGTGGTATAATGAACAGCCACTCAGAATTAGAAATCGGTACTGTGGACGTGCGGGTGGTATAATGAAATAAGCCACTCAGAATTAGAAATCGGGTGGACGTGCGGGTGGTATAATGAACAGCCACCAGAATTAGAAATCGGTACTGTGGACGTGCAGGTATAATGAACAGCCACCAGAATTAGAAATCGGTACTGTGGACGTGCGGGTGGTATAATGAACAGCCACTCAGAATTAGAAATCGGTACTGTGGACGTGCGGGTGGTATAACGAACAGCCCTCAGAATTAGAAATCGGCACTGTGGACGTGCGGGTGGTATAATGAACAGCCACCAGAATTAGAAATCGGTACTGTGGATGTGCGGTGGTATAATGAACAATACCAGAATACTGCGGAGTATAATGAACGCCACTCAGAATTAGAAACCGGTATTTTGGGACGGGTGGTATAATGAACAGCCACCAGAATTAGAAATCGGTACTGTGGACGTGCGGGTGGTATAATGAACAGCCACTCAGAATTAGAAATCGGTACTGTGGACGTGCGGGTGGTATAATGAACAGCCACTCAGAATTAGAAATCGGTACTGTGGACGTGCGGGTGGTATAATGAACAGCCACCAGAATTAGAAATCGGTACTGTGGATGTGCGGGTGGTATAATGAACAGCCAGAATTAGAACGGTGGAATAACGAACAGCCACCAGAATTAGAAATCGGTACTGTGGACGTGCGGGTGGTATAATGAACAGCCACTCAGAATTAGAAATCGGTAATGCGGTGAACAGCCACTGTCGGGACGTGCGGGTGGTATAATGAACAGCCACCAGAATTAGAAATCGGTACTGTGGACGTGCGGGTGGTATAATGAACAGCCACCAGAATTAGAAATCGGTACTGCGGATGTGCGGTGGTATAATGAACAGCCACTCAGAATTAGAAATCGGTACTGTATAATGGATGTGCGGGTGGTATAATGAACAGCCACCAGAATCAGAAATTATGCGGGTGGAAATCAGCCACCAGAATTAGAAATGGATGTGCGGGTGGTATAATGAACAGCCACCAGAATTAGAAATCGGTACTGAATTGGATGTGCGGGTGGTATAATGAACAGCCACTCAGAATTAGAAATCGGTACTGTGGACGTGCGGGTGGTATAATGAACAGCCACTCAGAATTAGAAATCGGTACTGTGGACGTGCGGGAAATCGGTATAATGAACAGCCACTCAGAATTAGAAATCGGTACTGTGGACGTGCGGGTGGTATAATGAACAGCCACTCAGAATTAGAAATCGCACTTGGACGTGCGGGTGGTATAATGAACAGCCACCAGAATTAGAAAACCGTGGATGCGGGTGGTACAGAATTAGAAATCGGTACTGTGGACGTGCGGGGTGGTATAATGAACAGCCACTCAGAATTAGAAATCGGTACTGTGGACGTGCGGGTGGTATAATGAACAGCCACCAGAATTAGAAATCGGTACTGTGGATGTGCGGGTGGTATAATGAACAGCCACTCAGAATTAGAAATCAGAATTAGGAATGGTACTGTGGACTGGTGAACAGCCACCAGGAAATCGGTACTGCGGATGTGGTGGTATAATGAACAGCCACTCAGAATTAGAAATCGGTACTGTGGACGTGCGGGTGGTATAATGAACAGCCACCAGAATTAGAAATCGGTACTGTGGACGTGGGGGTATAATGAACAGCCACTCAGAATTAGAAATCGGTACTGTGGATGTGCGGTGGTTAATGAACAGCCACTCAGAATTAGAAATCGGTACTGTGGATGTGGGTGGACATGCAGCCACTCAGAATTAGAAATCGGTATAATGAACAGCCACCAGAATTAGAAATTTACTGTGGACGTGCGGGTGGTATAATGAACAGCCACTCAGAATTAGAAATCGGTACTGTGGATGTGCGGGTGGTATAATGAACAGCCACCAGGTGGAAATCGGTACTGTGGACGCGGGTGGTATAATGAACAGCCACTCAGAATTAGAAATCGGTACTGCGGATGTGCGGTGGTATAATGAACAGCCACCACCGGAATTAGAAATCGGTACTGTGGACGTGCGGGTGGTATAATGAACAGCCACCAGAATTAGAAATCGGTACTGTGGACGGGTGGTATGAACAGCCACCAGAATTAGAAATCGGTACTGCGGATGTGCGGGTAATGAACAGCCACTCAGAATTAGAAATCGGTACTGTCGGTACCAGAATTGCGGACGTGCGGGTGGTATAATGAACAGCCACCAGAATTAGAAATCGGTACTGTGGACGTGCGGGTGGTATAATGAACAGCCACTCAGAATTAGAAAACTGTGGACGTGCGGGTGGTACAAATTAGAAATCGGTACTGTGGACGTGGGTGGTATAATGAACAGCCACCAGAATTAGAAATCGGTACTGTGGACGTGCGGGTGGTATAATGAACAGCCACTCAGAATTAGAAATCGGTACTGTGGACGTGGCGAACAGGAATTGGTGGACGTGCGGGTGGTATAATGAACAGCCACTCAGAATTAGAAATCGGTACTGTGGACGTGCGGGTGGTATAATGAACAGCCACTCAGAATTAGAAATCGGTACTGCGGATGTGCGGGTGGTATAATGAACAGCCACCAGAATTAGAAATCGGTTGGACGTGCGGGAAATCAGCCACTCAGAATTAGAAATGGACGTGGACGTGGTGGTATAATGAACAGCCACTCAGAATTAGAAATCGGTACTGTGGATGTGCGGGTGGTATAATGAACAGTGGAAATCGGTACTGTGGACGTGCGGGGTATAATGAACAGCCACTCAGAATTAGAAAAATCAATTACCAGAATTGGACGTGCGGTGGTATAATGAACAGCCACTCAGAATTAGAAATCGGTACTGTGGACGTGCGGGTGGTATAATGAACAGTGGAATTAGAAATCGGTACTGTGGACGGTGGTGGTAACAATGAACAGCCACCAGAATTAGAAATCGGTACTGTGGACGTGCGGTGGTATAATGAACAGCCACTCAGAATTAGGAATCGGTACTGTGGACGTGCGGGTGGTATAATGAACAGCCACTCAGAATTAGAAATCGGTACTGTGGATGTGCGGGTGGTATAAATGAACAGCCACTCAGAATTAGAAATCGGTACTGTGGACGTGCGGGTGGTATAATGAACAGTACCAGAATTGCGGAATCGGTACTGTGGACGTGCGGGTGGTATAATGAACAGCCACTCAGAATTAGAAATCGGTACTGTGGACGTGCGGGTGGTATAATGAACAGCCACTCAGAATTAGAAATCGGTACTGCGGACGTGCGGGTGGTATAATGAACAGCCACCAGAATTAGAAATCGGTACTGTGGACGTGCGGGTGGTATAATAAAAATGAACAGCCACCAGAATTAGAAATCGGTAAATGTGCGGCATAATGAAATCGGTACTGTGGACGTGCGGGTGGTATAATGAACAGCCACTCAGAATTAGAAATCGGTACCGGACGTGCGGGTGGTATAATGAACAGCCACTCAGAATTAGAAATCGGTACTGTGGATGAACGTTAAATCGGGTGGTATAATGAACAGCCACTCAGAATTAGAAATCGGTACTGTGGACGTGCGGGTGGTATAATGAACAGCCACTCAGAATTAGAAATCGGTACCGTGGATGTGCGGGTGGTATAATGAACAGCCACCAGAATTAGAAATCGGTATAATGAACAGCCACTCAGAATTAGAAATCGGACTGTGGACGTGCGGGTGGTATAATGAACAGCCACTCAGAATTAGGTGGTATAATCAGCCACCAGAATTAGAAATCGGTACTGTGGACGTGCGGGTGGTATAATGAACAGCCCAGAATTAGAAATCGGTACTGTGGACGTGTGGTATAATGAACAGCCACTCAGAATTAGAAATCGGTACTGTGGACGTGCGGGTGGTATAATGAACAGCCACTCAGAATTAGAAATCGGTACTGTGGACGTGCGGGTGGTATAATGAACAGCCACTCAGAATTAGAAATCGGTACTGCGGATGTGCGGGTGGTATAATGAACAGCCACTCAGAATTAGAAATCGGTACTGCGGATGTGCGGGTGGTATAATGAACAGCCACTCAGAATTAGAAATCGGTACTGCGGATGTGCGGGTGGTATAATGAACAGCCACTCAGAATTAGAAATCGGTACTGTGGACGTGCGGGTGGTATAATGAACAGCCACTCAGAATTAGAAATCGGTACTGCGGATGTGCGGGTGGGACAGGTGGTATAATGAACAGCCACCAGAATTAGAAATCGGTACTGTGGATGTGCGGGTGGTATAATGAACAGCCACTCAGAATTAGAAATCGGTACTGTGGACGTGCGGGTGGTATAATGAACAGCCACTCAGAATTAGAAATCGGTACTGAATTGGACGTGCGGGTGGTATAATGAACAGCCACCAGAAATTAGAAATCGGTACTGCGGACGTGCGGGTGGTATAATGAACAGCCACTCAGAATTAGAAATCGGTACTGTGGAATGCGGGTGGTATAATGAACAGCCACCAGAATTAGAAATCGGTACTGTGGACGTGCGGTGGTATAATGAACAACAGCAATTTTGTGGACTCAGAATTAGAAATCGGTACTGTGGACGTGCGGGTGGTATAATGAACAGCCACTCAGAATTAGAAATCGGTACTGGATGTGCGGGTGGTATAATGAACAGCCACTCAGAATTAGAAATCGGTACTGCGGATGTGCGGGTGGTATAATGAACAGCCACTCAGAATTAGAAATCGGTACTGTGGATGTGCGGGTGGTATAATGAACAGCCACCAGAATTAGGAAATCGGTACTGTGGACGTGCGGGTGGTATAATGAAAGCCACTCAAA